TATAAGAATGCCTTTACAAAAGTGATAAAAGGAAAATCTCAAGTGACTTTGCATCACATACTTTCCTTTAAAAAAACACACCCCACTTTTCTTCAATAACTCAAAAGTACTTGCTTTAGAATGAATGCAATATTTTCAGCGCAAACTGGGTGATTCATCACCACCACCTTTATGGATCTTCCGAGGTCACAACTGTAAGCTTCTGAGACATTTCACTTTGTTAGATCCAAGGCTGTGTGGCAGTTGCTTAAGTTACTGTACTTTGTTTGGAAGCATGAAGGCTTTAAGAACAGGACTCTGGGAGACTAATGAACACTTTTTGGAAATACTTGCTTTTTGGCAAACCTACAAGTTACGCGTGGGAGTAGAGAGAGCAGATAGGCAGCCAGTCAGGTGGTGCTCATGTGCAAACCATAGAATCGTAGAATTGTAGAGTTGGAAGGGAACCCAAGGGTCATCTAGCGCAAACCCCTGCAATGCAGGAATCTCAACAAAAGCATCCATGACAGATGCTAAAAACATTAAAAACCTCCAAGAAAGGAGAATCCTCTTGTGGGAGTCCATTCCACTTCTAAACACTTCTTACTGTCAGAATTTTCTTCATTATATTTAGTTGGAATCTCCTTTCTTGTAACTTGAATCCATTGGTTCAGGTCCTAGCCTCTGAAGCAGGAAGAAAACCAAGCTTGCTCCATCCTCCTTGTGACAGCCCTTCAGGTATTTGAAGATGGTTATCATATCTCCTCTGAGTTTCCTCTTTACCACGCTAAACATACCAGCTCTCTCAAGGCTTGGTTTACAGACCCTTAATCATCTTGGTCCCCTTCTCTGCATGCCAAAGCACCATCAGTTCACAAAACCAACAACCTACTCTTTCTAGTCAGCAACAAAACTCACTGGAAGGTATTCAACATTATCTCTCCCAATGAGGAACCCAATGAAGTTAATAGACATGACTAACTTTTGTTCATTTCTTCACTTCAGTGGGTTTACTCTGAGTAGGACTTAGCTGCATTCAACCTTGAGCAGTCACTGATAGCCACCAAACACAAATGTCATTAAGTAAGCCCTTTAAACTAACAGCTGTATAGAAGACTTGAGGAAACATCATTTTGCATATCTAGAGGATGATTGTAAGAGTATCTGACACATTCTACCAAATGATTCTGAAGACGTCCTGATCAGTTTTCAAAAGTGGACTATTTCTGGGGTTCCTACCTCCTGTTTCACAGTATTTTTAAAATCTCTTTTAAAACTCCCAGCTTTTTCTGTGCATTTCACATGAATATTAAACCTATTAGTTATAACTAGCATGTATTTGACAGAACACAGAACACTTTTCTGTTATTTAACTTGTACTTTCCCCTGTTTTGATTAAGGCTGCAGTACTATACAAACTTACCAAAGAGCAACTGTCATTGAACTCAATGTATCTTATATCTGAATAGTCATGTGTAGGATTGAACTGTAAAACATTGGGTAATAGCCAACAAACTCATACTCTACAAAGTAAACCCATCACCCACAAATTAGAATAAGAAAAGCTCCTCGTCTCTAGTTTGGAAACAGAAAAGCTTCCTGAACTTAATTTGTTGGTAAGCAAATTGCCTGGAGGAACATCATGTGGTTATGCAACATACTAGCAAAGTTATACTGTATTGAATTTACAAGGTTCAATCACAGTTCATTAACACAGCTGACAAGCAGCTTTTAATCTTTTAATGTGTGCCTTCATGTTAAAAAAAACCTAAGCATTACATTTGAGACATAGAGTAGTTCCTGGCAAGTTGGGGGTTGGTTTTCTTTAAAATGTAATTAAATATATCTTTGCACCCATACCATTTGAGCCAGTTAAATAAACATGATTACCTATTCCAAAAGGGATTAAATTTAATAAAGGGCTAGATAAAGGTGTAGAAAATACCTTGCCATAATAGAAATGGTTTTTTTTGTTTGTTTTTAAAATAAGCCTAGCTATCCAAGTTTCCAAGGAAAGTTCAAATCATGTAATAGGACAAAGTACAGAAACAAGAAGTGGTAGAAAAATATAAGATTGGGAATAGGAAACAGAGGTTGTGAATAGGAAGCAGGTCTCTATTCTGTTAATGCTATTTATTCTATGATAAATGAAATAATGTGTGTACAATTGAATTAGAAAACACATAATGGAAAAAGGTAATGTGTAAGTGCACTTTCTCATAATTCACTGCCATAATATGACTATATGAACCTAATGGTGGTATCCAATGGTGTCTGTCCACTGATGGAAGGAGTCCAGCAACGGAAATGGTAACAGGGAGACAATTTTCTGCAATTTCCTATCTATCTCTGTAGCAGGCAAACAATTAATGGACAAACTGGATGTGTCTGCTACAATTCTAGATTTGTACTATTAAAATAATTTGGAATGGATTGCAATGCTAAAATAAATTGCAAATGTTTAAGGGTTTAGTCCTAAACTTGTGTATGCCTGGCCCATGAAAAAGATTGCTAGCATGTTGCTATTAATTCATCCATCCTGTAAGTTTAAGAAATGCTGATCCAATAGACACAGAACATTTTTCATCTTACTGTTTAATATGAAAGTATATTATTGTGACCTTACTACAGATATGCAGAAATGGGGTTTTGTTCTAGTAATGTTAATTTGTGCTTGATGTAGAGTACCGGTATATATGCATGCAACTTGCACTGGTATTCAACATCTATTTAATCTTGTGAATTGCCCTGTGATCTTCAGATGAAGGGCAGTATATAAATTTAATTAATAAATAAGTAATTTGTGCTTGGTAGACTAGAGCAGCATCACAACTTATCAAGTATCAGAATATCCGTGTTGAGTTTGAGCACTGCTTTCAATAAATCTCATGGAAATCTGCTTAGCTGAAATGTTCCATTGAGGTATACAGAAGAGCTCTATATATGAAAAGGAACTTGTGTTAAAAGTTGCCATGCTTTCTGGGTTTTGTGAGCTGTGCAGGCAGAAACATTTTTCTGTGTTTATAAAAATACTCCTGGTACAATTAATGTGTTGTTGTGCCAGAAAATTGTAATAATTGGATAAAGATTCTAGGAAGAAATGGCTGAAACATTTATGTTATCTCTTGTTGGACAAAAGTGATTCTAATTCAGTACTGGAGGAGACAGCTGTACAGCTGTAAATTGTTAAACTCTACTGTTAGATGTAAACCATTTAAATTAGATTGCAGCAAATTACTGAATTGGGATTTGCTTGTACAAGTGATAGTGCAAGCAGTTCAGCAGAACACTTCTCTGTCTCCCCCCCCCTATGCTGTCTATTGATTAAAAAACTCTTCAAAGCATACAAGCCCCATCCAGAGAAGTTAATCTTTCTTCAATCCTTTTAAAAGTCAGTTGGAACTAGCATGTCTTGTGAATTTCAACCTGGTCTGAGTGCAACTCAGTTTCTCTGGACGAGGACAATGCTATTTACCATCAGCAGTACGTTGATTTCTGTACTGTGCCACATTTGATTTCCCAGAGCATACTCTACTTATGCTGACAGGAGTTGTGTTTAGATTTTTTGTTCTGAATGAAGCAATAATAAATTCTTAGCTTGCAAATTCAACTCCCAAGAACTGGGCTCCCCTTTGTGTACATTATGTCAATTATGCAGTTGGCACATGCCTCAAAATAACAAATAGTCAACACAGACAAGACCACTAAATCAATATTTCTCACAAGCTCTGAATAATTTGGCATTCTCTCTCTATATTATGGGCTTCTGTTGATTAACTGCTAGATTATTTTGTACTCTGGGAAACTGCTTACTGTGTCCTGTTACATTACAACAGGATTTCATGAGTAACTTGAGAATCTTGGGTATTTCCTCAAAATAATGCAAGAGCATTCAAGGTTTTGCTAATCAGAATATGCATTCATGGGGATGAAAACATGTTTCATACAGCTGCTTCTCAGAAAAATGAATATAAATATATAAAAACAAAAAATACAGTACAGAGAAAAACTATGGTAAGGTAATTTATATGAGCTATGAAGCTCATCAGTGTTATGATCTGCAGTGATGCCCACCACTAGGGAGGAGTGATGCCCCCCCCCAAAGGGAAGGTCAGTAGTTCCTGGTTGCCCAGGCAGGCAGGATGGCAAAGTCTGTCTCTTGGAGGAAGAAAGAAGATGCGCTTCAGGACCACAAATAATGCTCCTGTAGCTGAGGCAAAACATTGAACTTGTTCTGGAGCAGCTAGTTGAGTTTTATAGTAATATCAGGTAGCAGACCCCAGCTCTGAGTGCTGCACCCTGGTGAGTTAAATGGCTGGTGTATTCTGCAGACATAGGTTCCTTTGCGGTCCTGAGGTACCTGGGTGTGGGGGATCTCCCCTCAGGGCTCTCTTGATCCCCTGAGGAGTCTGTGGAGTAGCTATCAGAGTCTGATGGCAGATGTGGCTCATCAGGATCCAAGGGCATGAAGTTGTGACTATGGATGCACATGGGAAAGCCCGTGGTGTGGATCCATCTCCTTCTCAGAGCTGCAGTTACCAGAGGTTTCCACCTCTGAAGGGTCCTGGTCTGTGGCCACTCGCTGTCTCTCAGTCTAGCCAACATGACAGGATCACTGTGACATTAAAATGAAGGGGCAGAGTGAGAATAATTTGCACCGCCTTCAGCTCCTCAGAAGAAAGGGAGGATCTAAATGTAATAAACAAAATAATGGATAAATCACATAGAAGGAAGCATCTAAGCAGGTGTAATGAATGGAAGCTAGACTCTACCTACTTTTGCTTCTGGCCCCTCACCATTGGAATGTGGCCCTTGGAATGTGGCCCAGAAATGAATGTGATACTCATGGTGAAAATTTTGCTTCATAATACCTGTTGCTGGAAACCACAGGAGGGGAGAGTGTTATTGTGCTCAAGTCCTGTTTGAGGGCTACCATAGTGAGAACAAGATGCTGCAGGCACTTACATTCCTAAAAAAAATGTTCCCTGCTCCTGGTCTAGTTTGGCCTTCAAAATGCAGCTAAGTTTTAACCATTCTAACCTTTTGTGTAACGTGCATTGGATTAAGAGCATCAGGCAACACTTGTGCAGTGTTTTTCCACTTTGAATTCTGCTAGTGGTTTAGGTTCCCACCTTAACTATCATTCTTTGATTAGTACTTGACTGTTTTGTGATTGGACCTCTGAGATGAATACACTGAATCTGCAAAAACTGTAATAAGGAGCCTGTAAAGTATGATGAAGGATGCAATTAAAACAGACTGTTCTGGAGGCATTAACCATTTATAATGCTCTTAAAAGCTCCTCTAAGGTTTGGTCCAGTTTCTTAAAATACCTTGGTGGTCAAAAGGGCTATTTGCTGATGCAGTAAGGACAGGTTTAGGTCATCCCTATTGAAATGCGCAAAATGGTGGTGGTGGTGGAATCTGATCTCATAAGATTCTATTTTCATTAAACTGAGGCTCCATGATTTAGAGGCTGGGACTCCCATCAGCCACAGCCAGCATGGTCAACATCTGGAGTATCTCAGGTTACTCACCCCTCTTCTAAAGGATGGCTAGGTACACTTTAGGTATCCTTTGTAACATATATTGACTGGTCCGAACAATTCTTTATCTCTTGAATTGTTGTATTCTTCCTGTGGTGTTTCCCTTTCCATAATTATTTTGTGCATTGTATTTTGAAGCAGTTTATATTTTACTCCACATTATCAAGATGCCTCCGTGCCTTTATTCTTCTGCTCTACATCCAAACTATTTGCAACACAAGCTGAGGCAGAACTGAGCTCTTTGTTACACAGAGACTCTGCTTGTGTGAACATAAGCCTGGCAACAGCTTGTTCAGATCATGCTATGAATGGTCTCTTGAGAAGCCCATAAAAGAATTAAAACATATCACCTGAGAAATGTGATATTGATAATTTTCCATGCCCTGCTTGAGCTTCTGTTTGCATTCACCACAGCAATGGCACTTCTGAAGTGCTGAATCCTCTCAGCATTCAGAGAGCAAAGTGATTGAGTGGCTGAGGAAAAATAAGCTCCATTGATTCCCCATGGAAGATAATGATTGGATGATTGGTTTCTTTAACACAGAAAAGCACTGACATTTAAAACTGCTCTATTTTCGGGGGTTTTGATGGTAATTATTTCAAAGGCAAATTGTAATTTTTGCTTTCCTGCTGTGCCTGCAGCTTGATGTCATTTTGCACAGGTGAATTTTACTCTTAGAACTGAGACACAAAGTCAAAGCCAGTGGGGCTTTACACTTTCAACAGAACAAGAAGAAAAACCTCAGACATTCAGCAGCTGCTCCTGAAAACTATATTTTAAAAGTATAAGAAGACTGTTGAGGTGCATGTAAATTTACAACACTGTTTATATTAAAATTTAATTCATTTACTATACCATCCTGATGTTCTTCCAAAGCAGGCAGAGAGTCTTAGATATTGTTTTCAACTACCATCCTGGCAGAAAATAGGGCCAGAAACCTGCTGGACTTCAACAGCTGACTTGTTTTCATAGAACCATAGAATTGTAGAGTTAGAAGGGACCACAAGGGCCATCAGGTCCAACCTCCCTGGGTTTCACCCAATGTGCTTTGCATGCCTTCAGACTTTTGGGGAGGGGATCCCTTTGGAAAACTCCACTCACTTTTTTTCACATGCCCTGTATATTAGAACTGTCATTATTTATTGGGTTGGATCCAGTCCTTGCTTCTGCTGATAGAGCAGGGTGGGGCAGAGGGAAGGCAACGTTTGCAATTCTCCCCCTCCTTAAAAAGCAAAAAAGGTCATTGGGGGCTGCAGGGGGAGGTGGATATCTGCAAAAGTCACATCTACTCTTATTTGCTTATTCACTTATTCACTTCCATGGGCAGAAAGAGCCCCTTGGTCCAAGGAAGATAAAGTCTGGATTCAAGCCATTGTGCTTCTTTTTAATATTTACTTAACCACCTCATCGCGGGTGGCACTGTGGATTAAACCACAGAGCTTAGGACTTGCCGATCAGAAGGTTGGCGGTTCGAATCCCCATGACGGGGTGACCTCCCGTTCCTCGGTCCCTGCTCCTGCCCACCTAGCAGTTCGAAAGCATGTCAAAGTGCAAGTAGATAAATAGGTACCACTCCAGCAGGAAGGTAAAGGGCATTTACCGTGTGCTGCTCTGGTTTGCCAGAAGCGGCTTAGTCATGCTGGCCACATGACCCGGAAGCTGTATGCCGGCTCCCTCGGCCAATAAAGCGAGATGAGCGCCGCAACCCCAGAGTCGGTCACAACTGAACCTAATGGTCAGGGGTCCCTTTACCTTTAAACCACCTCAGGCTGGGACAAATAAGAACAATTAAAGAATAGTATTGAAGGTTGTGTACAACACTGGGACCAAGTTATTGTTGTTACCATTAACTTAAGGATGACCTGTAAATGCTGCCCACTTTGGCAGTTTTTAGCTTGCTTTAAAAAATAAATAAATAAAATACTGCTACTTATTTTGTCAAATGAGAGAGAACCAGAGTGGAGCAGTGTTAGAATGTCATACCAGGACCTGGAAGACCAGGGTACAGAACCCTACCCATCCATGAAGATTGCTGGGTGACCCTGGGCCAGTCACTGCTTCCCAGCTTAACCTACCCCAGAGGGTGATTGTAAGGATTAACTAAGAAGGGGGAGAACCATGTTTGCCACCTTCAGTCAGCTTCCTATACTTTGGATTCTTCTGTTACTTGGGAACAAGCCTCATTGAACCTGCTGATCCTTTCTTCTCTGAGTAATCATGCACATGATTCAGCAGTGAAAATACTATACAAATGAATAATAATATTGTATTGAATAAAGGCCTGTACTGAGCCTTGGAAATACATAGTTTGAGCTAAGCAAACTTTTTTTGTGGCTTAATATCAAAACAGTTGTATAAATGCTCCTTTCTATGTTTATACTTTCCCTTCCTCTTTATTCTTTCTCTTGGACAGATCAGTCACATCATGAACCAAGCACACGAGGAAGTCTCAGGACACAACTTGGAACAGTACGGATGTCTAAGAAGACTGTTTCCCTAGCTGAGTAACTTTGCATCTCTTTAAGCTATAAAATGCATGGACATTATGGTGACCAGCTAACGAAGGCAAAGTTGGAGAAATGATGGGCTGTTATTCTGTCAGAACCTTATTTTTTTAACAGAGTTTTTGAAATCGCAGAGACAGACGATGACAATCAATACCGATCAATTGGATGTTCCAGCCATGGAAGACAACTCAAGTTTTTGGGACAGTTTGATATATGCACACCCAATCTGTGTCAACTGGAAGTCGGAAGCAGAAGGATCGATCTATCATTTGGCCAGCATCTTGTTTGTTGTTGGCTACATGGGTGGAAGTGGCATTTTCGGCCTGCTCTACGTCTTCTTTTTGCTTGGACTAGGTTTTCTCTGCTCGTCCGTCTGGTCATGGCTGGATGTCTGTGCAGCTGACATTTTCTCTTGGAATTTTATACTGTTTGTGATATGCTTTGTACAGTTCATTTATGTGGCCTACCAAGTCCGGAGTGTTGCCTTTGACAAAGAATTCCAGGAGCTTTACCTTGCTATGTTCCGGCCCCTGGGGATTTCAATGACCATTTTTAGAAAGATCATCCTGTGCTGTGATGAAGAAGTAGTTACACTGGAGAAGGAGCACTGTTATGCCATGCAAGGCAAAACACCAATTGATAAGCTCTCCTTGCTTCTGTCAGGAAGGTTTGTATCATTCTTACACCCTGCTTGTAAATTTAGAAATATAACAATAATCAAGAATGCTGTATTTTATTTTTTCCCCTTTTGTTCCTGTTTAAACTGAATGCAGTAGGCTCAGCATTTCTGACACTTTAAACTTGAGTGCAAAAACATTTCTACTACCAAAGATGCCACAGCTTAAGGAGGGGAAGAAGGGTGTGTTTTAATTATCACTTGTAGTCTACAAATCTATGCAAGTGCCAAAAAACATTAACTCTGCAGCTTCTGGTAAGACTTAGCTTCCCTGGAAGAATAGCTGTCATAATTATTCTTTCTTTTTTTTCCCTATAAAAAGCACCTATATAAATAAAAAATGTAAAGAGAAATGACTGCTTGGAAGTGTGAATTGAGTTTTAGAAAATAGGATTACCAGGCAGTGTGTGTTTCTCTTTCCCCTCTTCATAGCAGATTCCCTTTTTACATTGCTCTGCCTCCCTCCTTGCCCTCAGCCATGCTTTCTGCTATGTAATGTAAAGTCTGAAAATTAACTTGGATATTTCTGAACACTAAATTCAGTAACCTTGTTCACCACTATGTATTCTCTAAAACCATTCTGCTTTATGAGTGTGCAAGGTAATGGAGGAGAACACTGCTGCCTATGTGACCAGTTTCATCTCTTTGAAGATCTGGGAATTGAGACATCTTTTTTAAAAAATAATAATCCTTAAATTGGTGTGTGAGTTGTGCCTAATGTGCCACCAATCTAGGGGAAGCTCCATCTGTCACATTGTAGATAGAAAATATGGCACATTTTCTGGTCCCTGTGTGTCAGCAGGGATCTGCTGCCTGTACGTGGTAGCCCTTCTGAAACTGGCAAATGCCAATCAAGGCCACCATTTTGTTTCCAGCAGTGGTCAGCCAAGGACCTTTGGAAATTCATAAGCAGTGCTTGAAGGCGAGTCCTCTCCTGTTTGCTCATAGGCATTCTGACTCTGAATACTGGTTTCATTTATATGTTGGCCAATAGCAATGGATTGACCTACCTTCCATAATGTTGAATAATCCTTTTAAAAAAGGTTTTCTAAGCAAGCATGGTGCCACCACATCTTGATGGTGACAACATCCATCAGTTAACACCCAATGCATGAAATATATGTCCCCTCCTTGCTGCCTCCATATATAGTCGGTATCCATGCTCAGATACATATTTGGATGTGCATTCGGTTCCTGATCCAGTAACTGATCTGTGAACACATCTCTTAGTTGGATCAGAGTGCGAAAACACATAATGGTTCACTTTTGTGCAGTTTTGGAAAACTTCACCAAAGGAAGGAGGATCTCAGTTATAAAATGATAAATGATAAAATGATAAAAAGGCTGGGTTAGTCCTGAAGACACATTATTCCACCATGCAGCTCCCTTATCCCTCTGGCGCTGTAGCTTATGAGTCAGGCTTATCTTTTGGGATGGATGACTCTGTTTTATACATTTTTGTGTTCTGAAAAACTCAGTGCAAAGGAGATTCAGGAACTCTTTAAGAAGACATGAATTGGAATTATTTTTTGTTCCTTTCATGTGCAAATGGTATTATTAATGTATTGTCACTTGCTGCTTATAACATTTGAAAGATGAACATTTTATGTATGAAATTTATTATGCAACTTCCCAACATAATTTGGCATAAAAATGGAAAACTTTGAACTGTGTGAGATAACGTTTAATATCTGTTCTCTTTGATATCCTGCAGTATGTCTAGTATGCACCCAAAATTAAAATGAAGCTCTTTTGATTGTTATGAAATCTGTGGAAACTAAATTTTATCCATACCCAGCCATTGCTTTTTTAAAAGAACTAATCTAATTCCTTTTCTCTGTGCTAACAATATTAACACACTGCTCTGTTTTGTTAGGATCAGAGTGACAGTGGATGGGGAATTTCTGCATTATATTTTCCCCCTCCAGTTTCTGGATTCGCCTGAATGGGATTCACTAAGACCCACAGAAGAAGGCATTTTTCAGGTAGGGGGATTTTGCAGATATGATGGATAATCTAACATCCTCTCTTTCGCAGAATCCAAGATGCGGAGACTCCAGCAACTGCTCAGCCAAAATTAAAGCTTGCTTGGGGACAAAGGTCCTTTCTAATGATGTAGAGCATTCAAACTGAAGTAAACATTTAAGGATGCTATGGATTGAGATCTTTTTTATTTCCTTCTTCCATCCAGCAGCAGTGAAATCACAGGTGCTTACAGGCAGAAACACTCAACATGAGAATTTCTGTAAATACTCGTATCTGGGATAGCTTGCAATGCCAGCCAGTGAGGTTTCCCTGATATTGAGGCTCACTCTACACAGGTGCTACAAATTCAAAGAGCCAAGCATTCTGTTACTAACATAGTGAGGCCTTTAAAAAAAAGATGATGGAAGTAAAAAGATTTCCAGATCCAGAGAGAACATTTTGAAAGCTTTCCTCTTGCTCCTCATTCCACTGTATAAGCCCATTTCTTAAGCTGATATAAATGGAAACAGATCTATTGATTTGCCATTTGTACAGAACACATGCTCCTCCTCCTGTCTGCACATGCACAGCATTCTTTAAACCAATGGTTTTCAACCAGTGTGCCGTGGCACCCTGCGGTGCCTTGGATGATGGTCAGGGGTGCTGCGGGCAACACTGTCCCTCTTTCTTTCCCTCCCTCCTCTGATGCCCCTCTTGCATCTCTGCCTCCCAGAGACTTGCACAGCTGTTTGTTGCAGCAGCCCTGGCTACAAGCTCCCCAGGTGAATGGTGCCTCTGGGGCTGGCCAGGAGGTACTTTCCAGGCCCCTGTGGGGCAGTGGGAGGAGGCACCTCTCTTTGGGGCAAGGGGGACAGCTCAGAGATCAGCGGTGGCAGCTGCCTAGAGCAGTGTTTCCCAACCTTTTTTGGGCAAAGGCACACTTCTTTCATGAAAAAAATCTCGAGGCACACCACCATTAGAAAATGTTAAAAAATTTAACTCTGTGCCTATATTGACTATATAAAAAGTACAGTGGTGCCTCGCAAGACGAAATTAATTCGTTCCGCAAGTCTCTTCGTCTTGCGAGTTTTTCGTCTTGCGATGCACGGTTTCCCCTAGGAATGCATTGAAAATCAATTAATGCGTTCCTAGGGAAACCGCCTTCAGACCAGGTCCGGGGACAGTCTGTCCCCCGACCTCTTCTGAAGGCTGGGGGGGGGGGACAAGGGCTTTTCTTCCCACTGCCAGCCTTCAGAAGGCTGTTCTGAAGGCTGGCGGTGGGAAGAAAAGCCCTTCTTCCCACCTCCCGCCCCGCAAGCTCCGGGGACAGGAGGGCTTTGCTGCCGACCGCCAGCATTTTAAAAGCCCCTGCTGTCCCGGGGCGATTTTAAAATGCTGGCGGGCGGGAGCGAAGTCTCCGCTGCCCCGAGGAGATTTTAAAATGCTGGGGGTCGGCAGCGAACGCTTCGCTCCCACCCGCCAGCATTTTAAGATCGCCCGGGGCAGCGGAGAAGTCTCCGCTGTCCCGGGAAGGCAGGCGGGGGGAGCAAAGACTTTTGCCCCGCCTGCCTTCAGAAGAGGTCCAGGACCTCGTTCCGATGCCCGGCGGCGGGGGGAGAGGTTCCCGCCCCACCGCCCGGCATCGGGGCATCGTTCCGATGCCGGGCGGCGGGGGGAGAGGTTCCCGCCCCACCGCCCGGCATCGGGGCATCGTTCCGATGCCGGGCGGCGGGGGGAGAGGTTCCCGCCCCACCGCCCGGCATCGGGGCATCGTTCCGATGCCCGGCGGCGGGGGGAGAGGTTCCCGCCCCACCGCCCGGCATCGGGGCATCGTTCCGATGCCGGGCGGCGGGGGGAGAGGTTCCCGCCCCACCGCCCGGCATCGGGGCATCGTTCCGATGCCGGGCGGCGGGGGGAGAGGTTCCCGCCCCACCGCCCGGCATCGGGGCATCGTTCCGATGCCCGACGGCGGGGTGAGAGGTTCCCGCCCCACCGCCCGGCATCGGGGCATCGTTCCGATGCCCGGCGGCGGGGGGAGAGGTTCCCGCCCCACCGCCCGGCATCGGGGCATCGTTCCGATGCCCGGCGGCGGGGGGAGAGGTTCCCGCCCCACCGCCCCGCTTCGGAGCAGCGCTCCGAAGCAGGGCGGCTGGGGCAGGTGTTCCCGCCCCCCCCTCCCTGCTTCGGAGCAGCGTTCCGAAGCGGGGCGGCTGGGGCAGGTGTTCCCGCCCCCCCGCCCCGCTTCGGAGCAGTGTTCCGAAGCGGGGCGGCTGGGGCAGGTGTTCCCGCCGCCCCGCTTCGGAGCAGCGGGAGAAGCGATCTCCCCGCAGCCCCTTGCTTCAAAAGAGGTCCGGGGGCAGCGCGAAGCGCTTCCCGCTGTCCCCGGACCTCTTTTGAAGCAAGGGGCGGTGGGGAGAAGCGATCTCGGACCTCTTTTGAAGCAAGGGGCGGTGGGGAGAAGCGATCTCGGGCGCCGCCTCTCCCGCCTCCCTCCCACGGCACACCAGGCAAGGTCTCACGGCACACCAGTGTGCCGCGGAACACCGGTTGGGAAACACTGGCCTAGAGGACTCCCAAGGAGAGGGAGAGGAGGCTGAGGGAACACTCCACAAGGGAGGGGGTTCGTAAAAGGGTGAGAGGCGGCTAGCTCTGCAAGCAAGGGGTGACTTAATTGGGTTCCTGAGCCCCACAGGGGTGCCACAGAAAGAATTTAGTTGGTCAAGGGAGCAGTGGACTCAAAAGGTTGAAAACCTCTGTTTTAAACTGTAATAATGGATCTTCCCCGGAGAATAAAAGGTTACAGAGTAGGGTGGAGAGTGTATGCTCTCAATTGGTCTCTCAAAAGATGTCCCCACTTGCTGCCCCCATATATAGTATCCACGCTCAGATACATATTTGGATGTGCATTCAATTCCTGATCCAAAAACTGATCTGGGAACACATCTCTTCGTTGCATCAGAATGAGGAAACACATAATGGTCCACTTTCCTTCACCAAAGGAAGGAGGATCTCAGTTATAAAGGCATCAGTGCACGGATATAATTTTAACTTTCTGTGTTCTCTCTCTCCCCCCTTCCCCCTCCCTCTCCCAATGTTTCTTTCAGGTAACCCTCACAGCAGAAACAGACTGTCGATATGTGGCCTGGAGGAGGAAAAAAATGTATTTACTCTTTGCTAAACACCGATTCATCTCACGGATATTTTCGATTCTGATTGGGAATGACATTGCCGATAAGCTCTATGCTCTGAATGACAGAGTGAACCTGGGGAAAGGATTCCGATGTGACATCCGCTTACCAAACTTCTATCATGTGTCCATTCCAGAGGCACCCAAAATGCAACCTGTAAACCAGATTCAGCACAGCTCAAGACAACATTAACCAATATTGTAAAATGTGACTGTGTTTCAGCATGATGCATTTTGCCTTCATTGCACCTGGAATGAACTGTGGCAGTTTCATAAAAAAACAAATGGAAGATTCTCATTAAGGCAACTTTAAAATAAAAAGCGATTTTTTTTCCAGTGGAAAGGAAGAGAAAAAACTAGCTCAGCTCCTTTCACCGTGTCTAAGCTAGCAGGATGCCATCTTGACTGATCGTGCGTTATGATTAGTTTCTGTTTACTCCTTCTGCTCATCTTACTATGTTGCGGGGGATGGGGGCGCAGATATAAATTATTATGGGATAAAGCTTTGTTGTAATTGTGGTGCCTCGGATATTGTGGTCTCAAAAATGACATTTGCACAGAGCTCTTCATGTTTATTGAGGCCTCCTTGTCATCATGAATTATGCAAGCAGTTTTATCTTGGAGAACAGCAACATGCAGACCATCTCTAAAAAGTAATCTTGACTCACTTGTTACTTGGTAATTACAATGCATAAATTTGGTCTCATTGTGCAGTGCCTTTCAGAAGATGACACATGAAACAGGAAACTGCACAGCCTGTAAAACCTGAAAGAAGGCTAACAATAATTTCTTTCTTGTATACATTCATGAAGTGATGACTTGAGATTTCTCTCAGGGTATTGCAGAGAGGCTATACATGAAAACAAAAGGCACTAATGTAATTACTTTGAGTACAAAGCATGTGCCAGTCACTTTAATTGCTGCAACATATGTAGCAGGGAAAGAATATTCAGGTATTTTAATTGAAAGCAGAGCAGCAGGTACCCTGGCTGTGGAGAGAGAGCAGTTTTCTAAGAATGGTAGTAGTATGATAAATGCAACATTCCCCATGGTATATACATTCATTTCTGTTGACCCACTATTGCCTCTAGACAAATAGGTTTTGCAGGTTTTTAAGCACTGCAAAAACCTGCTGAACCTGTGAACTGAAATAGCAACATTGCTTTGTGGGCAATTACTACCATGCTACAACAAACTCTTAGAGAGAGAAAAATACCATGAGCTTCCATGTCTATAAAGAAGATACAAAAGCAAGCCATCAGATCATACAGTAGATTTGTGAATGTTCATATAAAACATGTTATGCAGGGATATATGGTTTAAATTACAACTCCTCATCCCTGCAACAGCTTTGTTATTTCCATTTGACTATCAGATTGTGATTTTTCCCAAGGTTTGAATCCAGATCCAAGCACTGCTAATGTCATTATCATATGGTACATTATAAATACTGAATGTTACCATATCAAGGTTAACTACCCCAGTTCCATGGTTATGTCATCAGGTGTGGCCACTTTGGTTAAATGGTGATAGTAAGATGGCTTGAATGCCTGTTGCCCATAAGTAACGCTTTATACATCTGAGTGTTGAATGAAACAGAAAAACACTTCTGCTTGTATGCCAGAAGAGAGCCCTGCTCACCTATCTTTATGCAAGAAATCACTGACCTAATATGGATAGTTATACCAACGCGGCAAGTGAGATTTCTAATACAGCTGCTGGTGGTGGTTTTAGTGCCTACTAATGGAAAAATTTGGTGGAGATGGGCATACTTTTCAAGGGACAGAAGGTGCACTTAACTAACTAAGCCCAAATGGAAAGGGATATGATGAGCTCTTTTGAGTGCACCTAAAAGATTTCGGAGTCTAGTGGAATGTTTTACTTTGAACAGCAAGCCTTCTTCCCATGCAATTTTAATTGTTTATGAAATGGTCCTCAGTTCCAAAACTTGGTGGTTGGCATGGGGCATGGGGCTACTGCTTGAGAAACTGAAGTCCCAAGCCCACTTTGTCATGCCAAACTAGTTTGCTGCTTGTTCATTAGAACCTGGTTTACATTTATTTTTTTATAAAGATTTTATTTTTACCATTTTATATAAAAGATCAAGGAGGAAGACAACTCCACAATATTTTATACTATAAACTTTATAGTAATGAAAAGAGAAACAATCACATAAACATTAAGTATGTGTGAAATGACTTGATCTTATTAATGTTATGGAGCTGGATGATCTATTGCGTATGTTACTGCTCAGTTCATCCTGTAGTTACTTTTCTTTTAAGGAGGAAAAGGTGTAAAGGCTTTTCTACTTACATGTCTGATACACCAAAAAGAATGACTAGTTTTTATGGAGCAATATTGAAGAGTCTATAATGAGAAATGCCATAATTTCTTTAACCCTGTCAGAAAGCTGGAGACTGTTTGATGAAGATCTGCCCCTATAAACATTTTGAGCCAAGACTCTTTGGAAATGAAACAATTGCACCATCCTGGATCTGCCTGGCACCTGGCTGTTATATGCACTTTAAATTGTTTAGTTCATTCATGATTATTGGTTGTATCCAGTGTTAATCCCACTGAGAGATTGGTTGTATCCAGTGTTATTCCCACTAAGCGTCTACCCATTGAAATTAGTGTACATGGCTGACCATAGGCGCCGACTCCATGGGGCTTGAGGGGGCCCGAGCCCCCTCAAAAATTCGTTTGGGGGGGGCTCCGCCCCCCCAATAATCTCCGGCGCCCCTCCAGCAGAGCGCCATCGCCGCCCCTCCCCCAGCCCAAAATGCACAGGGAGGGGCGGGCTGCATGCCTCCTGCCCTCCCTCCCGAGCAAAAGCTCCACCCAATTTCCTTTGGAGCTGATTAATAGGCGCAGCACGCTCTCCCCTATTCGCTCACGAGGAGGCGGTGCCACTTTATTTGCATATTCATGAGCTTATTTATTATTCATGAGCTTTCCCGGGCCCCCCCAATATTTTTTATAAGTCCGCGTCCCTGTGGCTGACTTAGGTTCATTAATTTCAGTGCATCTACTATGACTATATCTTAGTAGGATACAACACTCTTTATACATTCCAGCCTGTACCTTCAAGCCATATTTTTGAAAGCACTGCTGTGCCAGATCTGGATTGTCTTATTTTGTCCACACTCTTGCTTCTTGTTAGGAATTGAATTTTCTAGACTTATTAATTCAAATCAAACCCAATATACTGGACTAGGAGTAATCCAAATGGAATCACTTCCAGTAGTATAATATACATGGTGAGATCCAGATCCAGATTTACATGGTGAGATCCGTGTAATATACATGGTGAGATTTGTACTCAGCACAGTCCCACTTGTGCCAGAGGAAGGAGATAGAGGAGTTATTTTATGGGAGAGTTGAAGTGTTGAGGATGGTACCTCTGGTGGGAAACATTTGCCACATCTCAGAGTCTTCTGTGACTGTCTTCAGATTCCTTGACAGATGGGACAATCTTTGGTTTGTAGTATTACAGATTTTGTTGCATTTTTTTGTTCATACTCAGGGGAAGTCAGAAATAGGCAAAGGTAATTTTATATATGTTATCAGCTTTAAATAAAATGTTCCTGTGTTTGACTTTTCTGTACTGAACTTGTTTGACCAAGGTTGTAAAAATACATATTTTACAGATGTTGGGATATAATGTTCAGTAAGAATACCTTATTTTCTTAACAGTCCAGAATAGTTTTACATCATGTACTTGATATAATATGTGGAAAGTTTCAGAAGTAGTTTCGCAGTAACTTTATATTTCAGACCTTTATATAAGGCAGGTCTGTTCTGCACCTATGCTATTGCCCGCACAAAATAAGCCAGATTATTTAGAACATCACTTTGAAATTTTAAGATAATAGCCATCATGGTTGTGGTAGAGCATTTAAATCTGAAGACTAGCTATTGATTAAACTTGGTTTTTTCATTTGAACTTAGTGTGAGGACTTTGTTGGCTGGGCAGTTGGGTGGTCAACAAAATAAATGTTTGGCCCACGTATGCAGAAGCATCTTCCCTACATGAACTGTGTGGACAGACGATTCTTCTGTAGTTCCTAATGCACAGGAACATAGGAAGCTGCCTTATTCCAAGTCAGACCATTGGTCCATCTAGTTCAGTATTGTCTACACTGACTGGCAGCAGCTCTCCAGGATTTCAGGTACGTGACATTTCCAACCCTACTACCTAGAACTTTTAGGGATCGAAGCTGGGAACTTCTGCATATGTTTTGCCACCTCCCTGTGGCCCTTCCCAACATGCTGCAGCAGCTGGGTTTGTCAGTATTGGGTTTGTCAAGAGACATTTGTAAATTTGTCAAGAGACGAGAGTAAATTTATCCGCAACCACTTCCATGAGGAAGTAGAAGATTCTCTCTTATACATTCACTATTATATACCGGTATGATGTGAAATAATGTCTTCTACCAAAGATGAAAATACGAGATGAACAGCAAGATGCTCAGAAACGTTAGAAGAAAAATGAGCAATTGCTATAAATATTTTAATAGCTATGAAGACATAATACTTTCAAATGGTTGTTCCTTGGCTTTGAATTAATGAGATACATTGATCCTTTCTCTAGATGTATTTTTGATGCATAGCATGAATAACAATTTATTGTACACTGCTTTCCTTGGTGTAGATTTACAAATTTAATAGTTTCATGCCTGCCATTGCCTTTACAGACACTCCCGATTATTTAGAGATTAGGGGAAAATGGAAACACCTTCCACATTTATGGGAATTACATTCTAAAACATGTATACCCATTTTCCTTCTTCCAAAGCATTTAAAACAGATTATTATTTTATTAGCATGTATTTAGATAGATGAGAATCGATTGAAAGTGAAAAGAGGCAATCGAGTACATATATTGTAAGAAATGGGAAGCAGAGTAAGAGAAAATCTAGATACAATTATAGGGGAATGAGAGGGTGGAAGAGAAAGACAGAAGGCTAGACACATGTGGACCATCAAGGAAAGGCCCTTGCAAACCTCATCACTGGGGAGAGGGGGAAACTCTCCGAGGTTGTCTGGAACTGGGCAAGAGGGAGCTGTTCTGGAGAGCTTCGGTGTTGGCTGCCCTCCACTGCAAGCGGTGGGGGGGGGGGACACCAGCATCAAAGCACAGCTGCTCTGGTGATGTCTGAAGTGGTGGGGAAGACAGGATGCTGCCTCTTGCATTTCTGCCGCCTGAAGCTGCTGCTTCACCCCGTCTCACCTGCAGGCCAGCTCTGCTGCCTAACCACTTCATCATATTTCACAGGGACATAGTAAACCATGTCAGACCAATGGCTCATCCATGGGCATAGCCAGGGGGGTGCAGTGGGGGCAGCTGCTCCCCCAGTCAAGTAAATAAATAGAAATACTTAACTGACCAATTGTGTGGCAGATAACTTGGTTCTGCCCTCCCCTAATGAATCCTGGCTACTCCCAGGGGCCCATCTACCTCAATGTGGCCTGCACTGGCTCTCCTTGTTTTCAGGACAGGTGTGTCTCCTAGCCTTACCTGCAGGTGTCAGGGATGGAATCTGGGGCCTTTTGAAGCTACAGCCTTTCCACTTTCCTCATTGCGTCCAAATCCTGCTCCCTTACCTGGGAATTGGGAGTAGGGCATCTAGTCGGAGAATACGGATTCCTGGTAAATGTGGGACTCGACTCGTTCTTTAATTCGTAGCTCCTCCCTCACCTGAGAAATTAGCAGGCTATTTCACACCTGTCGGGCTACTCGGGTGGCCATCGGTTCCTGAACCAAAGCACAGCAGCCCAATACCCTCTGCAACAGAAGCATTAATTAAACCTTGTTTTATGCGTTTGATTGGTCTTTTGGGGAGGAGGAGGAGGAGCTGGGACCTAACAGATTCTCTACTACTCAGTGCTGAAAAGAAACACTCGGCCCATGTTCAGAGGCACTCCGAATCTCGTTTCAAGCGCCTCCCGACGGCGGGAGCCACGGAGCAGTTTGCATCTGCCTGAGTCCCCGCCGTCCAACAGCTGGCGAAGGGAAGGAAGGGCCCGCCTGCCCGGGGCTGCGCCTTCGCCTTCCCGGCGCTTGCGCGCTGCGTCCGCCGCCGCCGCCGCGGCTCTCGAGAGGTCGCAGCAGGCGGCGTGCGAAGGGAGAGCTGGCGCCGCCCGCAACTTGGTGGCGGCTGCTGCCCGCTGCCTATTTTAGTCAAAACCTCCGCCCCGGGGGCTCGCGCGTGCTTCGCCTCGACTCCTTCGGCGAGAGAGGGCGCCCTCGGAGGAGCTGTCGCCGGAGGAGACCCACGGCGGGACGGAGGCGCCTCAGAAGCGAGCGGCAGGTAAGGCTGCAGCCCCGACGGGAGAAGTTGGGCGAGGCGGCGGCAAGCGCGCGAAACGGGAGGCGGGACGCTGCAGGGGCCGCTCTGGCGGCGGAGTTAACAGCTGCGGATGCGGGAGAGGCTCCCGCGAGGGGTTTTCTCGGCAGCCTAGTGGCCCTTCGGGCTCGCCTCCCCTTGCTCAGGAGAAGTTTTCCCGGGAGCCGGGCGCCCCTCAAAGAACGTCAGGAATTCCAGGCCGTCTTTCTGGAGGGGCGGCAGAAATTCACTTTGCGCGTGCTCAGAGACGCAGCTCTAAGACTGAGTCCGTTTCCCGCGCTTCCTAGTAGAGCGCAAGGCAGCTGCGCATAGTAGTTGCTTCTTTCCCAGACCTGGGTGAGCTTAGCAAGGTCACCTACCTGCCTAGTCTGTGCCATAGAGACATAGTAACCTAATGGAATTGGAGTGTTGGAAGGGACCCCAAGTGTCATCTAGTCCAACCCCCTGCAATGCAGGAATCTTTTGCCCAATGTGGGGCTGGAACCCACAACCCATAGATTTTAAATGTCTCATGCTCTACTGACTGAGCTATCCCAGGGTCAATTTCATACGCTGCCAGAGGTGAGCTCAAAGTGTGACAAGTGCAAAATAATATTTTGGTTCCCTCAATACGTACTCAGTCATCCCTTTCTCTCTCTCTCTCTCTCTCTCTCTCTCTCTCTCTCTCTCTCACACACACACACACACACACACACACACACACTGCTGCAGTTTAAGAGTTGGAGTGTAGAGCCCCTTGCTTCCTTTCCTTGAGAGAGGCAGTCTTCACATGCTGAATTGTTCCTGCTCATTACTCCTGCAGCACCTTCTTGAATGAGTCCTGATGCTTGAAATTCAGGGGAAGCCCTAAGCTTTTCTGAGGCCTGGCTCCATTTAAGCTGAGCACCTGTTGTTGTCCCCAGCCAGGGCCTTCCTGCTTTCTGGTGCGCTTGTGTGCAAAGCTCTGTCACAGCCTGGAATGTCAAGGAACATTTCAGCAGAGACACCCCCAAGTGGTGGTCTGCTTATCTCTTTACAGCGGTCCTTTGTGAGGAGAGCCTGCAGTAGTTTGGCAGTCGGGCTTTATGGGCTTATCTGCCACCCCTGTTTCCTTGGATGCCTTCAGTCGCTTACTGAGGAGACGACTCCTGCTGTTGCTCCTTGCTTTGATCCTTTTCATTTCAAATATATTCTTTAATAAGTATCCGCTCACAGATATATGAAAGGTGGTGTACTTTATATTTGAAGTCCAGCAAATATAGGATGCAAAATAAATGCAAACAATTAATTTATACAAATAGATGCAGTCGCGATCTGCTTGAAATAACCCTGCCAAATGTTTATGGTTATGATTTACAAGAGCATACTGCAAAACTGCATTAACAATAAAATGTGTTTTGCTGATTATATTTGGGGAGTGGGGTGTATAAAACCTTGGTTTGATGTTCATTTTGAGTCAAGGGTTTGGGTACTGTCATTTTTTTTTTAAGGCTGAGTGGAATTAATGCATTACTTTGTCTGATTACAGGTCATCAGCTATTTATAAGGACACTTGTTCTGAAGTAGCAGAAAGCCAGGTGATTCAGAAAACACAGTGGTATCCCATGGGGAATTTTCCCAATGGTTTGTTTATCTGTGATGCTGTGCAGGGATCAGTACTGCACGATACCAAAAGTTCAGAGTTTATCTCTTTCCCACTCCTCCCCACTTCACACAGTTGCCCTCCATGAGTTGGAGGGCAAAGCAGAGAGTGGAGCTTGTGTGTAGGCTTTTAACGCTTGCAGTGTTCCCGGATAGAGCTTAGGATTTTTGTGTGTGTGTGTGGTGTGTTATATATAGCTTGCCTCTTCTCAGTGACTTGTGCTAGTGTGCAAAAATACCCTACTACTTGCAGCCCAAGCCTAGGCATGAAATTCAGTGGGATTTATTCTCTAGTAAGCACTGCAACCTTAAAGGTGTATTTCATCCTGTACTGAGCAATTTGTGTCATGTGTAAATGTTTATAGGCATAAATAAATAATCCCAATAAATTAATAACAATAAATAAATAATAATAAAATATTAGTGCAGGATAAAATGCAGGTGATAATAAGAATGGCATTCTAGCCCATGCCAGGTATTACAGTAACATTGAAGGTAAAGAAGTTTGGATTCTGATACACTTATAATGTTGAAAGCTTTTTCAATGTCTTGTTGAACGCCTGTGCTTTTAAATTTCAAAATCTAATGTGGGCCTGACTTTCGACAAATTAATTTTGATGTGCTTTCTTGCATAGTTAACCGCCACCCCACCTTTGTGCTTGCATGGTAATTGTATATATAGTTCTTGCAACTTAAAATGTTAGAATATGCAGAACTTTCAGGTTTAACCCCCAGTATAAGAGTGCAAGAAGAATGTATATTTAAAGAAGAGTGAAGAATATTTATTGAATATATGGAAAATAATTGTACACAGCTGAAAACACTGGCAGCATTAAGATAAATTCAACAGAGTAAACAATATTTGATTAATGTGAAAGTGGAAAATTGATTTGAATGGTTACTGTAAAATATGCAGGAAAGTATGATATGAACCATGGAAGGAGAAGAAGGGAAGTCATTGGATATTTTAAAGTTTGTAAAATGTTTAATTTGAAATGTAGGAAAATGAAAACTCAATTCAAATTATTTAAAAAAGGAAATATGACTTAAGGTAAAAAAATATTCCACCCTCTAAGTTGTTACATTTGTGTTCTTTTCCTTCACTGTCTTGTATGTGTTGGTGGTATTTTGACATTATTATTACCAGGCAATAAAAAGTACTTGGCTCAAGTTGAAAAGCATGAATACAAACCAGAAAAAATAATTAAAACTGGATAGGAACTGCCAAGAAAGCCACTGTTAAAACTGAACAGTGCAGAGAAGCAAACAGTTATGCCCCTGTTACGAAGTTTTCAACTTCAATACTAGGGCTAGTTGTGTATCTAATTAAGAAGTGCCCCTTGCTGATGCCCATGCATGGACCGTTCTGCTCCGTGGTCAGATGCATTATCTGCCCTTCTGTCGTGTTTGGAGATAAAGTAAACCTGTTTCTGCTGCACTTAAAATTGGCTGTCAGAAAAATTGTGCAGCCTTTTGCCTCTCAAGCGTTGTAAAGTGCTATATTTAGTAGAACTATTTAATGTCGCTGCCACATGACAGTTTGATAGGTGTGGGATAGATAAGGGAGACTCACTTTATTTTTAAGCATCCCATGCCAATACTGATCTAAAGCATAGAAGCCACCTTTGGCATACACTTCATGCGTGCAGAAAGCTGATACTTTGCCGTGGATAGCAAAACAGTTTGGAGCAGCTTGGATACATATGTTGTCTTTTGTTCTTATTTAAAAATAGAGTGATAGTGACACACACACACACACACGCAAAAACTTTTCGGAATATTAAATATAAGAGTTTTTAACATCTGTGAATATAGTCTCCAGTACTTTTGTATCTGTTGAAAAAGACATTGATTCAAGCTGCAAGTGTGAAACTATGTGTTGTATTTTCCAATTCTTATTTTAATGTTTTGTTGTTGTTTGTTTAAAAAAAAACATTTTAACAGGCAACTTCAAGATGAATCCTACAGAAGCAAATTCAATTATGGTGACCCCTTTGAGTTTCAACCCAGATGTCAACAATCCCATCTCTATGCCTTTGAATGAAACTCTTTGTGAAAACTGGAGAGAGATTCATCATCTCGTGTTTCATTTGGCCAATATTTGTTTTGCTGTTGGATTGGTTATTCCAACCACTTTCCATCTTCATATGATTGTCCTACGAGCCATGGTAATAATAGGTAGGACAAACAAATATTTAGGAATACGCAAAAGCTTTTATATGCCAAATAGATTTTCTTCTTATTGCATACTAGTACCCGCTCCCCTTCTTCCATACCACAACACAAACTGTTTTTGAAATACAAAAGTAATTTGTCGTTCAGAACAGGATTCTACAGTTTAGTATGGCATGGAAGAGTTAAAGCCAGAAGAGATAACTCTGGCTCATACGCGACTGCTCTGTTGTCATAGTGAGGGAGCATTGATTTAGAGTGTATCTGATCTGTTGGGTGTCCCCACTAGTAAGGTTACACTGGGCCTCATCAGTGGTGGCACCCAGCTTGTAGAATGCTCTCTGACAGGTTCAGGAAACACTAACACTATTGTCATTTTACATAAAAGGTAAAGGTAAAGGTACCCCTGCCCGGTACCTTTGACAGACTCTAGGGTTGTGCGCCCATCTCACTCAAGAGGCCGGGGGCCAGCGCTGTCCAGAGACACTTCTGGGTCACGTGGCCAGCGTGACAAAGCTGCATCTGGTGAGCCAGCGCAGCACACGGAAACGCCGTTTACCTTCCCGCCAGTAAGCGGTCCCTATTTATCTACTTGCACCTGGGGGTGCTTTCGAACTGCTAGGTTGGCAGGCGCTGGGACCGAGCAACGGGAGCGCACCCCGCCGCGGGGATTCGAACCGCCGACCTTTCGATCGGCAAGCCCTAGGCGCTGAGGCTTTTAGCCACAGCGCCACCCGCAATTATGTGTTTTTGTGTATATGACTTAATTGAATTCCTAATACTGCTAAACTGATTGCATTAATGCATCTTTTTTTAAATTCTCTGTCTTAAATTAATGTTTTTAGTTGTCTCTGATATTGTAGTATTTTTTGTAAACTACTTTAGATATTATTTTAATAGAAAGGTGGCCTGTACATACAAACAGCTGTATGGTTCCAGTACACCTCCAGTGTACTTAGTGACACACATACATGTAAACGGCATGCACAGCCGTTTACCTTCTGCCAGCCATTATGTTTTCTGGGATTTTTTTTTAGTGTGAAGAGCTTTGCTTATTCTCCACACATGCTTATGACTGTGGCACACATTATATTGTAGTTGCAGTGGAATGCATTTGCATTCATTGCCTACGAAGGGCCAGTGTATGACAGTGTATGTAGCTTAATTGCCCTAAGGAGGAGCATTATTATTAATAATAATATTATTTGGAAGTAAACTAAACAGAATATTTTTATTCTTGGAATACGTAACTGAGGAGGCTGGGGAAAACCAGTTGCAGTATTCTGTTGGAATCATAGTTCTTTGGACATGTGTGTGTGTATACATAGTCATTTGACAAACTTTGTTTTTGGCAGGGTGTACACTATTCATCATCTGGGCAACGCTATTCCGTTGTGCTGTGGATATAATGATCTGGAACACAACATTCCTTGTTATCAACCTTTTGCATTTTATATACTTGCTATATAAGAGAAGACCGGTATGTACATCAACACTAAACTATTGATAAAATGTCTAAGGTGCTACTTTAAAAGGACCATTCTCTTCCATCTTGATTCTAATAAGTCTATACTGGGCTTGTTGACTAACTTGAATACATGAATTATCATTTCTATAACTCTCAAGAGCTTTGCTTTCAAGTATTTGTTTTAAACATAAAAATCCTTTGTACAGAGGCCTTTAATTCTTTATGAATTCCTATTTTTTAATTTATTTTTTAGTATACAGCCACCAAATTTCCATTTGTGCAACCTGCCATCTTGATTCAACTTGAATGCAATGTGTCCATTATGGTGGTGGTGGTTGTTTTTCAGTTTTCCGGACACTGATTCTTTATGATGTAGGGCATCTGGCTCATTATGACTAGTGTAGCAAGTCTTTGGGTATTTCCTCCACTCATCTGTTAAACCAGTTACCCCGGCAGGAAAAGTAGATTGGTTTAAATCAAAGTTTGTGCTGGTGACCAGTAATCACTGAATTGTATGACCTTTTTGTTGTATCAAATATGAAATTGTTTTCTGTGTAATACTGTAACCAGTTTTACAATATATGATTGAAAGGCATCAATTAAGAAATAAGCTGGAAAATTCCTAGTACATGATTAAGGCTATGAACATTTCTTTGAGAGTAAGCCCTGTTGGAAGATACAATGCTGCAAGTCATTCAAAGTTATCTTGAGCCATCAACAAATAATTTCTATCTTTATAGTACAGTGCAAAATTTCAGTTACTATAGATCAGTGACAAGCAGTTAATTCTATAAAAGGGTGTGCCTTGTTTCCTCAGCTATTTTGTTTTCGAGGGCAACTGTGCATCTTTCAGTGCCTAGCAATATAACCTATCAGCCCCTACTGAAGCTGTTCTCCAGCCTCTTAAGATTTTTTAAATTGATTCTGTGTTGTTCAGTATTGACTTTCCCTTTAAGTGTTGCACCTGCGCTGATGTTTTGCTGCTTTGTCATTTATGAAACTAAAAAGCTGGTTTGGCCCTCTCTTGCTATCTATGCCACATGTAAAAATGAATGTTCAATGCCGGCTTTACATTTTTCATACAGCTCCTTTTAACTGTAGCCTATTTCTTTCTTAAGAACATGCTGGTTCAGAGCTCCCCGCCCCCCAACTAAAAATCTGAGACATTTTAGCCTTTTGTCATAGGGAAAGTGCTCCAGCCCCCTGCCTCCTTTGGCACCATATGTTACAGTAATACATGTGTGGTTTTCTTTTCTGGGATTGTCTGAACAAAAGCAGATTGCTGGGTGGGGAGGGGCATGCATACTGCAGATTACTGTCCCATTCCAAATTGTTCTTGTAAACCTGCTTGTGCTCCACCTGTTGGATCCTAAACACATGTTTGATTGAGCAGCCCACATCTGGAACATGAGGTGGGTGAAGGAACCATCTTGAATGATTTGGACTGGGAAAGTTTAAGTCCTTCCTCTCTCTGTCATGTTGTGCACCGGTGAAGTTGCTTTAAAAAAATAATAATGGAATAGGAGTTTGCTTTTGGGGAGGGCAGAGGAAGGAAGAAAGGTTATCCCATGTTTTCATGGAATGAAATTTTATAGGGTTTTGTTCCATGTTGCATTTACTGTGATTGTCTGAATTGGTATATTTGGAGCATAGAATCATGGAATTGTAGAGTTAGAAAGGATCCCGAGGATCTAACCTGCTGCAATACAGAAATCTCAACTAAAGCATCCCTGACAGACAGCCATCCAACCTCTGCTTAAAAGAAACCTCCAAGGAAGGAGAGCCCACCACCTTTTTAGGGAATCCTTTCCACTGTCAAACAACTCTTACCCTCACAAAGTTCTTCCTAGTGTTTAGTTGGAATCTCCTTCCCTATAACTTGAGTCCATTTGTTTGGGTCCTACCCTCTGGAGCAGGAGAAAGCAAGCTTGCTCCATCCTCCATGTGACAGCCCTTCAGCTATTTGAAGGTAGCTATCATATCTCCTATCAGTGTTCTCTTATCCAGGCTAAACATAGCCAATTTCCTCAACTGTTCCTGGTCATCTTGGTCACCCTCCTCTGCACACATTCCAGCATATCAATATCCTTCTTAAATTGTGGCACTCAGAACTGGACTCAGTACTCCAGATGCGGTCTGACAAATGCACAATAGAGTGAGACTATTACTTCCCTTGGTTAGGGTACTGTACTTCGGTTGATGCAGCCTAGAATAGCATTATTTTTTTGCTGCTGCATCACACTGTTGACTCATGTTAAGTTTGTGGTCTACTAAGACCCTAGAGCCTTTTCACATGTACTACTGCCTAATTCAAGTGTCCCCCTATCTGGTTATTCCTGCCTATATATCCTTAATGAAATTCATTTTGTTAGTTTGGGCCCAGTTCTCCAAACTGTTAAGGTCACCTTGAATCCCAGTTTTGTCTTCTATAGCATCAGCTACCCCTCTCAGTTTGGTGTCATCTGCATATTTGATGAGCATCTCCTCAAGTCTGTTATCCAAGTGGTTTATAAAGGCATAGAACAACAATGAGCCCAGGATAGAATCTGGCAGCACCCCACTTGTAACTTTTTTTCAGAATGATGAAGAACTATTAGTTCCTTTAGGGACTCTTTGGGTTCAGTCAGCCAGCTACAAATCCATCTAACAGTTCTTTTATCTACAAGAATATCTTACTGAAATCAAGATACACTATGTCCACATCTTTCCCCTGATCCACCAAGCTTGTAATGAGAGAGAGAGAGAGAGAGAGAGAGAGAGAGAGAGAGAGAGAGAGAGAGAGAGAGATTCATCTGGCATGACTTGTTTTTGAGAAACCCATGCTGGGTCTTAGTAATCACAGCATCCTTTCCCAAGGGCTTACAGACAGACCATTTAATCACTTGTTCTAGGACCTTTCCTGGTATTAGTGTCAAGTTGACTGGTTGGTAGTTACCTGGGTCGTCTTTCCCCCCATTTTTGTTTTGAAGATAGGGAACAACATTTGCCTGCCTGCAGTCTGCAGACCTCACCTGTTCTCCAAGAATTCTCAAAGATTATAGGCAGAGGCTCTGACACTACATCTGCAAGCTTCTTTAGTCCCCTTGGGTACAGCTCACCAGGCCCTGGAGATTTGAATTCATTTAAAATAGCTAGGTGTTCCTTTACCACCTCTTTTCCTATCTTGGGCTGAAATGTTGGCATGAAATATTGAAGCCACTTCTCAAAAGACTGAAGTGACTGTGATTGCTTGCCTGTTTTAGACAGTGGATTTGCTTTCTGGCTATCAATATTCTTCCTGTCTGTCTTGCTGTGTGTGTGTGTGTGTGTGTGTGTGTGTGTGTATAACTCAATAGCTCATCTGCTTTCCAACATCCTTCACAGTTTGGTTATTCATGATGAATATAAAACCCACATCAAAATTGAAATATTAAGAGTGTTTCATTTAATCCAGTTAGATTTGATTTAATATATAAATAAAAAATGAAAACAGCACAGCAAGCTAGATGACTCATTCTTACAGTCATTGCACAAAAACTTAAAATGTTTCAGGCTATTCTCTTCCCTCCTAAGCTGAATATGTCATCAGAAGAACACCAATGCAACTGAAAGCTTTGGCATGGGAAAACAGGAACTTGATGTGCAGTTTATTAGAAGCCTTTAAAAGGCAGCCTTTAATGTTGAGTAGGGATGGTCAAATCTGTCGCTTTTGTTTCTCATTTTCCTAATACTCAGTTCTCAACATTTCCTTGCCAGTATGCATTTTTTAAAAAAAATTCACCAGCATTTTAGTGTTAATTTCTCCTAATACACACATTTATATGCTATTTTGCACAAATTTTGCAGTGCTATCTCTCCATATATATGCACACTTAGCTTTAATTTATGCATTTTTACTTGGCTGAAGCATTGCATGGCAAAATTAAGAGAAATTCAAATTTCAAAGCATGGTTGTGTTTTGATTCAGATATTGTTTGAAAAGTGCAAGTTACATAGGTTTTGTTTCCTGCTAATAAAGTCATTCTAGTTCTGCGATACATTGCATATGGGCACAGTTTATATGGAGATCCACATGATATTTGCTGCTTTACTGCTGAATAATTTTCATCTAGAGTAGTTCTCTCACACTGCACTTTCTACAGCTGTTCTGTAGCATCTGTTCACTGTGGCATGAGTGAACAGTATGAAAATGAAGCATGAAATAACACTTTGACCTAAATGAACTGAAAGGATAAGGGAGAAAATCCAGTATGTGGATTGAGAACGGAGGACAGCTTGCAAGACTCCTAGCATCTTTATGACAAATGAATACTCACATTTTTCTTTAAACCCACGGACAAAGCTCTTTCCCCACAGAGCACACACCTCTTTTTCCTTTCTTATTTATTAGCAAGAAATAATCTAAACTACAGACAAACTCTCTTTCCTTGAATTATGCCTCTGTTATGCCTTTGATACTTATTTGTCTAGTGCTGAAGCCTTTCCTGTTTTTGCTCTTCATGACACCCACTTTCTCCTCTCTTTGCAAACCAATTTGGTCTCTGCTCAATCTGCTAATGTTTTTAGATACGGTAGGACACTGTGTCCTGGGTAGTAACTCTATTGATTCAGGAGCACAGCTAGATATGAGCCAGTTTTTTTCTCACCCTGTTTCCTGTTTTGGTGCATAAATGAGTGTAGAATGTTAGACACTGTTTTCTCTTTCCTACAGCATCTTATAATGGACTGGCTTTTGCAAGCCTTTAGAGTTGTTTTCATGGCTCTCTGGCCATCTTCCGCTTCTTAGCAAAGAACCAAAAGAATTATATTACTACTTTGCTTTTGAGCATTACCTGTAGAGTGCTCAAAGTGCTTCACATAACTTGCTTTTCTCACTTTAGCCCTGTGACATTTTTTTACCCCCTTATTGCAGTTGGGAGTGTGTGGTGATATAATGAGACATGTTGAAGGTCACCTAGCTATTTCACAGCCAAATTGAGATTTGACCTGAATGCATCCTGATTTGTAGGTCAGTCTCTTCAGCTATAAACATCTAGATAGAAGCAAGTTTCATTGAACTCAGATGCAGGTCCCATTGAGTAAATGTTTAGAGAACTGTACTCTTAGTCACTCTGCTTCACCAGCTCTATGCTACAACAGGTAGAGAAATAACTGGGAAAATAAGGAAAGATCTGATTACCTATTTTATTAGAATATAATTCTATTGCCATTTATTTTTGTATTACTGCATTGGTTACATCTGCTTGTAGTCATGAGTGTGATATCACTTTCTGGGTCATGTGGCCAGCAGGACTAAACCGCATCTGGTGCAACAGAGCACTGTGATGAAAGCCTGAGCACACGGAAATGCCATTTACCTTCCTGCCACAGTGGTACCTATTTATCTACTTGCACTGGTGGGCTTTTGAACTACTCTGTTGGCAGAAGCTGGGACAGAGCAATGGGAGCTCACGCCATCCCATGGATTCAAACTGCTGACCTCGTGAGCTCCCATTGCTCTGTCCCAGCTTCTGCCAACAGAGTAGTTCAAAAGCCCACCAGTGGATCCATCCCATGGATTCAAACTGCTGACCTTCCAATCAGCAAGCCCAAGAGCCTCAGTGGTCTAGACTAAAGCGCCACCCGTGGCCTTTGAATCATTTTAAACTGTACAGGCACTTCCCAGCTTAAATGTAGGCTGGAAGAAACTGGTATTTCCACACACAGAAAAAAACAATGCAACTTCTAACTCTGATATTATTATTTAAATTTCTATGGTAAAAGCACATCTGCTAATGTATAACTATAGTGTTAGATGCATCCCATTTGTCAGTTTCTTTGATGCTACATTGGAATAAAGTTGCCACTGGTTTGTATGTTTAGGTGTTTTGGGTAAAAAGTATATTTTAGAGTCAATGCTGAGAAATACTTACTTTTTGTGTTATAGATAAAGATAGATAAGGAGCTCAACAGTCTGTATAAGAGAATGTTTGAACCACTCCATGTGCCTCCAGAGTTGTTCCAAAGACTGACAGGACAATTTTGCAACATTCAGACACTAAAAACAGGTCAAGCGTATGCTGCAGAGGACAAAACATCAGTGGACGATCGATTAAGCATCCTGTTAAAAGGAAAGTACGTGCTTGAAAAAGTTTGAACAGGAGTAGTCCTTTTCATGGCATAATTGAATTGTGGAAAAGTAGAAATGAAAATTTAAAGGGACTGCAATATACAATTACTTGTGTCTTCTTTTATACATAACATTAGTTTTGAATAATTTGAATGTATGCAGTAGCAATTCAATGCTGCTTTCCTCCATTGCTTTAAGATACTGCTTTGAGGTAGCGGTAACCTTTACTGATCTCTGCAATGCTTGAGCCAATTGCTTCTTGGCATCTCACCTACTTTTTTGGTGACAGTGAGCTGTAGCACTCTCTCATGCCACCATGATTCCTAAGTTGTTGATTCACTTTGTTTAACTTTACCTTAGTGTTAAATCAGAGTTCTACCCACACCACACATTTAAAGCAATATTATACCACTTTAACAATCATGGAGAATCATGGGGAATGTTATTTGTTAAGGCGTTGCTCTGTGACCTTTAATGAAATAGAGTTCCCATAATTTTCCATGTCTAGTTCGTTTCCCCCCCACTCCCGCACTTCATGATATGCAAGTCTTATCTTCTGAAGTGGGAAGCCTGCTATATTCAAAAACATATCTGTTTTTGAATCCCAACTTTCCAGGGTTCTAAACACAGTCAATTATTTTATTCCGGTATGAATTGAATTGTTGTTCCTCTGGTATTTTCATATGTTTTTCATATTTTTATCATCAGAATGAAGGTCTCCTATCGAGGGCATTTTCTGCATAATATTTACCCCTGTGCCTTTATAGATTCTCCTGAATTTCGATCAACTCAGATGCATCGAGGTGAGAAGTTCCAGGTATGGAACTGTTCTGTTGGGTGTGATTGTAATTCTTGATGAAAAAAATATGAGGTGCTATAGAGTTTTATGGCAGCATTGAATTAATCTTCTTAACTTTTTCATATAGCCTTTTCAGATGTTAATGTTGGAGAATATAATCGTTATCATTCTAGATGCAAAAGTGGCAGTGTTGTGTTGCTTGTTGAGAGCTGTAAAATTATATAGTTTCTTTCTTTGGATTCTAAAGGTTTAATGCAAGTACCATAATAAATATTGGATAAAATAATCATATGAATCTGTTGTGGGACTAAGGAAACATAGAACTGTAGTGTTTGAAGGGACCCTGTAGGAATGCACAGCTGTCCCATATGGGGATTGAACCTGCAACCTTGGTGTTATGAGTACCACACTCTTGCCAAGTGAGCTATCCAGGCTTATGCCTAATGTTAATCTGAACACTAATCTACTTCAAAAGAAGCATTGAAGATAAATAAGGGCAGCAATAGTACTCTCTCCTCCATATTCTAAAATGATTTTGAACCCCAAGGCCCCCGTTTTTAAATAAAAAGCTGACAATTGTAAATATAAATTTCACCACCACCCCTCCTCCTTCCTTTTCTTCCTGACCTTAAACTGTACTCCACACTAATGTCTCATAACAAATGTAACTGATCTGTAGAAAAGACTGTATAATTGTCCATCTCCTGAGTAAAAGGGGAGGCCAGAGGAATAGTAGCTGCTCAAGGGGAAAGGAAGCAGAGTAGGTATTGGCTTGAGAAGTAGGGACTTGATTTGATGGTAAGTAGATGCAGTAAAGATAGGAAACAAGGGAGGGGAGTTGAGTTTCAGAGAAAACCTTCCCACCCGTGGGTGTTGTATACTGTTGGTACGAAGGCAGTCTCTCAGAATGTGATATTTGGAGGCAAAGTCACTGTACATCTGGAAGTTAAGTTGTGAAGATACCTCAATTTCCCCAGAGGTGGCTGCTGTGAAGTGGGCAAGCTGAATTTCACACATAAAATTGTACCAAGCACCCAGTTTTGGGGCTGCAGATCTTTAGTGAGTTCTCGTTTTTAACTATGACTATACAGTATCTACTTGATTGTAAAGCCAGGACAGAGGGTTGATACAGTGTCTAAAACTGGTAATTGATGTAATATGTTCCAGTCAAGAACTGGGCATAAAGCCAAAGCGACGTAGCTGTCAAGATATATTCATCTCTGCACTGGAAGGAAGTTATGGGATACTTAACACTATTCCTAATAGATTATTTTTGGTCATTGATTTGTTCTGAGCTGAGAGGAAACCACCTAATTTTAAAGGAGTAGTTCTTTGTATCTCTTTTATTTAGATCAGGGTTTGGATTATTTTTTTTTTACACATAATGAAAAATGTTCATTTTATGACTGATGGGTACACATTTCCAAATTTCTTTTTCTAAATATATGCAGGGATGGAAATTGTATTGTTGTAGCCCACCTGAAGATGCTTTCTTGGCGGGTGGTATATGAATAGCTTAACTAAATATGTTGTTGTTGTTTAGTCGTTTCCGACTCTTCGTGACCCCACGGACCAAAGCACGCCAGGCACTCCTGTCTTCCACCGCTTCCCGCAGTTTGGTCAGGCTCATGTTTGTAGCTTCAATAACACTATCCAACCATCTCGTCCTCTGTCGTCCCCTTCTCCTTGTGCCCTCCATCTTTCCCAACACCAGGGTCTTTTCCAGGGAGTCTTCTCATGAGGTGGCCAAAGTATTGGAGCCTCAACTTCACGATCTGTCCTTCCAGTGAGCACTCAGGTCTGATTTCCTTAAGAATGGATGCGTTTGATCTTCTTGCAGTCCATGGGACTCTCAAGAGTCTCCTCCAGCACCATAATTCAAAAGCATCAATTCTTCGGCGATCAGCCTTCTTTATGGTCCAGCTCTCACTTCCATACATCACTAAACTAAATATGTACACCAAATTAAAAACTGGTTCATGGCATCTCCTGGCATGCTTTTATATTGGGTGTAGATCATTTTGCTTTAACATATTTTGGGAGACAGCACATTCATAATTCACTTCCCTGTCAGGATCACTGATCATTTCTTCCCTATGAGTCTGGGGTGGGCTTTGGCTTCTGGTCTTCCTTTCTTTCTTAGTACACTGGTGCCATCTGCTGGACGCATGTCAACCTTCACAAAGTAGCTACCTTTTGCTTTTACTGGTTGGTGTATGTGTGAATCAGCCCTTAGAACTGAGCTGCAATCCTACACACATGCATCTCAATCTCATCAGTAGGGTTCCATCAGACTTCTGCATTCATACTGGTCCAGTTGTATCATTTGTCGCACTATTGATAAACTGATGTTGTTCGTTCGTTTTTAAATTTGTCGGTGCTGTCTTTCTCTAAGCCATAAAGATGGTGTGCAACAGATCAAGACAATTAAACATTGTAATGTTTTAATATTTTATTGTCGATTTCAAACAGCAGCACTAGTTAAAAAAGGGCCAAAAAAGGGTGACATTAATGTATTAGTTCATTTAATTTTTAAATTTTAATGTTTTCTCCTTTTTAACATTTTGTATATAATCATTATTGTTGGTGGTATATATTGAGAGTAAAAATAATAATTGGTTGCTATTTTTAAATATTGCATTAGTGCATATATTTTTGTTGTTGTTATGACGACGATGGTAGAAGCAGCAAGACCACATACAACAGCAAAGCTTTGGGCCTGCATATATGTTCCTTTATTCAAATTTGGCCTTTTTAATCCCCAGACATTGGTGTCCATCTTTTCATTCCTTTTATGCAATAGATTTGCTCACAGGGTGCTTTTAACTAAATGGATTTGGGAAGGCAGGTTTCCAAAACATCAGAAGAATTTTCCTTGCATATTTCTGTGAAATTTTGGGAAACCTATTGGGCCATGACCTATCTTAAGCACATTCTGTGTCAGACTTGGATTAGTGGGTTTGAAGGGAGAAACCACTATTGAATACATTCTGTGTTGAAGTCTCTTTCTGCTGAATCACCGCAAACTAAAATGCCATTGTGGTCAGTGGCACATATTAAAGCAGTGCATAATTCTCTATGGAAGACACTTTCTTTGCAGGTCTCACAATTACTGAGCTGATGAGTTAACTGGTGGGCACAACCTTTTAGGACTGGGTCCTAGGAGGAGCTACTACCATTTGCACATATACACTTCTGAGAATCTGAACGGCCCATTACTCCTCTTTGAAACATATTGTAAGTACCTTATTGGAAAAGATATTACAAACAAGTTGTACTCACTAAATGATCCAACACTAAATGATAAGGTAAGGGTTTCATCTCTCCTGTTGGAAACTGTGTAGCTGTTGTCCTCAATTCTTAAAAATGCATCTTCCCTTTCTATGCTACCTCTTTTTTTATATATTTGTTACATTTTGAATAATAGTATCATAGAATTGTGGAGTTGTAGAGTTGGAAAGGCGCCCAACCCCTTCAGTGCAGTAATCTCAACTAGATCATTCACAACTATCCTGAACTCTAGGCCCAAAGGAGGGCTTGTGGGAATGGTTGGGTGGAGTTTTGCTGAAGGAGGATGCCAAAAACTTCAGAATGGCCAGTTCTAGTGCTTTATTTAAAAAAGTATAAACTTTCGGCAAAGCAGCTTGCCAGTTTCGGTTTATGGTTCAGAACAATGATGCTCGTCCAACCCCTACTTAAAAACCTCCAATGAAGGAGAGCCTACCACCTTTCAAAGGAGTGAATCTTCCCTGTGACAGCCTTTGAAATATTTGAAGATGGCTATCATCTGCTCTGTCTTCTCTTATCCAGGCTAAATGTGCCCAACTCCCTCAACTTAAGACTTGGTTTCCAGACCTTTGATCATCCTGATCATAGTCCTCTACATACATTCCAGCCTGTTAATATCCTCCTTAAATTGTGGTGCCCAAAGCTGGAAACAGCATTCAAGGTGTGGTCTGACCAAGACAGAATAAAGCGAAACTATTACTTCCCTTGATTTAGACACTATAATTCTGTTGATGCAGCCTAGAGTAGTATTAGGTCTCTTTTTTTGCTGTTGCATCACACTGTTGACTCTTGTTAAGTGTGCAGTTTACTAAGAGCACAGTGATGGCTGTCGTACCATTTTCAAGTGTCCAGGAAAACGGCATTTAGCATACACATGTGCAAAGTACGAATTCCACAAATAATTATCTCTAAAGGCCTCTTACTAACAGAGCATCTCAAAAAATCATCTATCCAAATCTTCCAATTCCTGCCCTCAGAGAGAGAGTGTACACACAATACACTATAAAGCCAGCCTGGGGGGGGGGTCTACTTAAATGAGCCCTGCTAGTAGCTGATCCTAGTTCCTTGGAAAAGGTATGTATGCCCTATCACATATACGGCAAGCTCCAGTGATGTAGCAGAGTGTCAGACTTGGATCAGGAGGAAGCAATTTCAAATCCTCACAGAGCTATGAAGCTCATCAGGTGATCCTGGGACCATTCTCCAGTTCTTAGCCTAGCCCAGCTAATGGCACCAGGTGAAAATATTCCTCTTTAACCAGGCCTTTGGTTGATTGACATCTGATGCCCTTTTAAAATGTGTTGTGGAAGTGGGGATTATTGTGTTGTCTTTGTGTATTTTCTGTTTTTTATATTGTGAACCACCTTGAGATCTATGGGTGTAGGGTGGCATACAAACAATAATCACTTTTGTAAGCAAAAAAATGGTGAGGATGGAAGAAATGTCTGCCATTCTGAGCTCCTTGGAGGAAGCAAGATTGGTACTGAAATGCAAATAAATAAATATATGTTCAGGTTTAGTAATGATGAACTATTTGGTATAACTTGGTTCTCTACAGACATCCCAGAAAATAGATCGACAGCCCAGTTTGTGCTCACAACTTTCTGTGATGCAAATGAGAAACAGCATGGCTAGTTCAAGTGATGGCGAAGATGGCTTGCAACATTTTCTCCGTGGGACTTCCACTGCCTCAACCCTTCGTGAGTCATTAACCAACATTTCCAGCTAGTCAATCACAAGTGTCATGAGGATGTGTTGTGGGGAAAATACTTTAGCACAAGGGGATATACCATTACACTCAGACATTAGTCTGTAGGTTCAGGCCATGATTTTTTTAAAAAAAATTATGTTCTCACATTCATGCTCCTTGTGCAGTGACTGCAATCAAACAATGATTTTCATGTGTGAAAGGGACATTGCAGTTCAGACTTCACAGGCTCATCATTCATATCTTGTATCTCATCTTTCTCAATGTGCCATAGTTTCTACATTAAGTCACAAATTATCAAATGCTATGCAGGTTTTACTTTATTTATTAAACTTCTATACCACCCTTTATCTGAGGATCACAGGGTGGTTTACAATATAGAAACACAAAAATACATAACATACTAACAAATGAAAACAGTACTCCCCAATGTAGTTTAATGGCCACAGCTCTGATGCTGTGCCCCGTTGTGATCTGAGCAAGAACTACTGATTGTTAGAGAGTACAGATTTTTTTATAATTGAATGAATGAGGTAACACTAGCTGCTATGGATTTCATAATTCTGCTTTTTTTCATTCAAAAAAATGAAAAAGATTTCAAACTGAACTGATAAAAGGCTGCAAGCATACAAAAACAAAGCATTATAAGATATCCCCCCCAAGAAATGTTCCTATTACATGCATTTTAGATTCCAAAAGACTGAGAAAGTGCTCACATCCTTAATAGTACTGCTCATTATGGGGAGCAATACTGAAAATGAACCATAGGTGGCACTAAGTAATTCTGTTTTTTATTGTTTGCCTGGCTGGCACCAGTATTCCCTCTAAACCAGCATGTTCAGATTTAAACTGAAACACTCCATTTCCTTCTTACTTAGAATATGGGTGGTAGTGGTGGGAGAAGGTGCTGATTTTTGTTTCCTTTTTGAAGTGTAATAATTTACTTTTAAGTTATTTCCTTTTTTCACGGTTGACAGGTCAGCCATCTCCTTGTCTAAGAACATCAGCAAAAATGAAACCAATTGAAGAAAGTGTGGAAGATGATGTCTTTCATCCCCCATCAGTCAAATCAACTAAAGTTTAGTAGTGATCTTGCTGAGCGGAATTTCAGTGAGCTACTACAAGTGTGGCAGACACAGAAAACTTGCCAAACCACATAAGGTTAATTTTTGATTTTTTAAAATACATATGTACATTTGGCCACACACACATATGCCAGAAAAAAAGACTGTGAGTGAACTCCTTAACCATATTACCTGAAAAATAAATAATGCTGGTTTTAGTGGGACTTGAAGCCCCATTCTGGACTGGAGGAGAAGAATGCCCCGTTTGAAGCAATAGTGTAGAAAGGTCTTTGCTTGTAATGGAACCGTCTGCACAGGAATGGCTTCTCTTTTGAAGTGAATGGGAAAGTCCTCACAGCTTCGGTGGATTCTTGGACTGGAGCAAATGTGCCTGGAAATGGCGTTTTAAACAAGGTGTCAAACTTTGGTTTTCAGTTTATGTTCCAACAAATCAAATTGATTCATTTGCAAAGCTTTGCCATTAAAAACTTTTTTTTGTTTTTTGTTTGGCTTTTAAGCCAATCAATGCAGTACTGATACACAGATAAGCTTGACACCTGAGCCTTCTTTTACCTCAGATTTGTGGGACTTGGAAGCGCAGGAATCAGCTGTTGCTGCTGCACTTGCAAAGGTACAGGCTCCTTCCCCCACCTAGGCCACCTGTTGGGTCAGTAGGGGGAAAGCAGTCATCTGGGCTGAGGCCACTCCCATCTTTGCCAGCCCTGCCTAATAATATTAAGACTGAGCACAGTCAAAGCTGAAATATGTAATCAATCTATTGTGTTGTGTGTCACAATCACACTGTATGTCTATTTGTAGGAAGGATACAGGAGTTGCTCCCATTTTGTGCTGATGTGCAGGTTTGGCACTCGGACATTTTGGGTCCTGAACGCTGCAAACCTGGAAGTGAGTGTTCTGGTTTGCGAACGCTCTTTGGAATCCAAAACTCAGACAGGGCTTCCACAGCTTCCAGTTGGCTGCAGGAGCTTTCTGCAGCAAATCAGAAGCCACGCTTTGGAAGTCAAATGGACTTCTGGAACAGATTCTGTTGACTTCCAAAGTATGACTGTATTCTTAGTCATGGCACACTCTTTGTGAACTGGTACAAATAATATTGCAGTCATCAAGATAACTTAATTGTAACCACATTTTTCCCTTTCAGCCATGTGTAATGTTTATGAATGGTTCTATAATGTGATGTCTATTATAACTGGACACAAGACCTAAAGTATTAGCAATTCAAAATACTATTGCAACGAAATTGATTTGCGGTGTACTTTTGGGTAAATGCACCAGCATTTCATGTGGTAGGGCAGAGTCACAGTGCTTTAATTAGTCTCACATCATTAAAATGAGTGGGTGTTTGCCATTGACCTCAGTGGGATGTTGGCCAGTGGTGGGGAATCTGTTCCCCTGCAGATTGTTGTTGAACAACAATTCCCCATTATATAACACATTCACCCACACTAAGGCAAATTGGTTCTCCAATATCTGGAGGCCCACAAAGTTTTCTATCACTCCTGTAGGTTGTACTTCATTATGTGCATCAATGTTTGATATGTGCTTACATTACACTCCTTTTCTAAGAATAGAATACATCCAATCCTGCTTTTTCATTGGGCTTTCCATAAACATAGAATTATTGGCAGTCATGGTAAATTGTAATCTGTGGCATAAACGCTGATGGAGAGAATAACACAGTGCCTTTTTTAAAATTTCGATTCCAGCTGCATCGGATATATATTTATGGTAATAGAGAGATTTCTTCATCCCAAATTAAACACTTCCATAGATTAAAACTGGAAAATTTAAGGATTTGCTTAACTACCAATGAAATAATGGAAGTATATAATTTTAGCTCATTTGTTGAATGTCATCTCTGTGGTTTTTCTAAGTTGGCTGTTGCAAACATTTGTTAATTGCAAGCATCATAATGAAAAGGCTACAAGAGTGGGATGTCATTAGCAGAAGTCGCTGGAAAGAGAACCTTGTTTAAATAGCAAAGAACTCTTACATGGGAGGGGAGAAGTAGTTGTCATGGTGGGCAAACCACAGTCCTGCTGGACTTCTGCCAGCAGGAAAAGAGGGAGTCCTCTTCCCCCCCCCCTTTGCTGGCATGTTGTTTTTTAAAAATCCATACCCATTAGTCCCAGTAGGAAGAAAATAACCATACTAGCCCTAGGCAGGGCTGGCAAACTTTCAGCTCTATTTCAGAAATGGATCCAGAAAACAGCAGCGTTTTGCATCCAGCAGATCCCAAACTACCTCCAATCCTCCCTCATAACTTTTTTTTTTGTTTTTTGCCTTTAGCTATTGGAACACAGGCAATGATTGAATAAGATTCCTTGGTCCCAGGGACCACCCACCCAGGGACTATAGGACTGCACCATACAGATATTTACTAGACTATATATACCTTATGTAACTGAAGATTTTGAGGGCTAGGAAGTGCAGCATTGAGATCTCTTCTCCAGTTTTTCAAATAACCCCATGGTTACCAGGAGCTGGCTTAAGGATCTGGCTTATTCACATTTGTAGGTGTTTCCCTTTATGTAAAGTAGTTAGAATTGCACCTTTGCTGGATTGATCCTTCAGAGAAATACTGCTTTCCAGTATGGTTGCTATTGATGTTTTAAAAAATGAATGTGACTGGACTAGACTATACATGTTTATAGTGTGATGCAGCTATAATTCACTGCTATATTGACTCTGCACATAAGCCACAATGTTACTAACTGGAATAAAGCTTTTTGAAAAGTGTATATATGAGAGAGATTTAATTTTTCTGTACAATAAAACAATAAATACATATTACATACCTGCATTTCTTTAGACCTCTTCTTTATCCGCCAGCTAATATGAAACACTAGCAGCATAGGGAATTTGTTCTGTCCTGTTGTAATGCACAACCACATTCTTAAGCATCCTCAACAGTATCCTTGACTTAATCTGCTGTAGGACTTGTACCACCCATGTTGAGGTGCTCTGAGGGAATCTTTTTGGACTATAACTCTGCAGCCCCAACCAGCATAGCCAATTTCTCTGGGAGTTGTCACCCGTCTGAACAGCAACATATTCCACCCCCTCTCCTGAAAAAGTTAATAGGGGAAATAAAACAATTTTAGCTTTCTGACAGAAGAATTATTACAGATGTCAAATTGGAAAATAATTGGGGGGGGCAGAGACTACCCTACATTTAAACATTTTAATAGCTTTCTTTCAGAATAGGAAAAGTTACAAAGAGTCATACTAGTTCAAGTATTCAGTAAATATACTATTTTATATAAAAGGTAATAAATTTAGCTGTATTTATTATGGTTAAAATACCTATTCTTATGCCTGAAATGCCTAACTTTGCAAATTATCAGATTACTTTTATGTCATCTGGCATACAAAATTCTTGCCCACCTATCTGCATATGGCATTCTTTTTTTACACTGGAATAGAAAGCTGTCAGAACATGCACTGGAAATGGAAATATTAATCCTACAACAACAATGAATTTTCCTAAGCAGAAGGTAAGCCTCCTTCAAAAGCTTCAAGGCTACTAAGGATACAGAGACGGAAGCATAAGGATTTCTTCCATTGTAAGAATTGTGCAATAAAAGTGCACTCGGGAAAATCTTGTATGTACTAGAACCTCCCCCACAAACAAGCTTATAAGCAAAGTATTCTGCTAAATACCATCCGGTTCTAGTAACTGAGCACTTATGCTTCTCCTTAATTTCCTCCTTGGAGATTAATAAAATATTAAGACCACATCCTGCTTTCCTGTACAAACTACTCTTGGGACATGAATTCCCCTTCATCCTCTGTAGTAAAAGGTGATGCAGAAACGAAATTTCAGCTACTGATTGACTTAAGCTAAAACAATCAGCCCAGCCACCTATGACACAAAAAGCATGCAAAGCAGAGGTTGCTCTGTTCACAGACATTGCTACACTAAAAAAAAAGTAGATAAAATATATAGACAATATTCTTGAAATGCTCTAGTCACCAGCCCAGACCTGGCAACTGAGCAAGGAGCCTGTACATTATGCCTGAACAATATTATACAGAGCCACCAACATTAAATCAAAGTGTTAATGCATCTGTATGTGTAAAGCAAATGCAGTAATCCCACTGAGTACATGCATTAATATCTGAGAGATGGGATTTCATTACTCCCTGTAATTAAACTAGAATAAGGCCGTTGGTCTGCTGCAGCCCACTTACTCCAAACTAAAGGCATAGAAGTTGATCACTAATCCAGTATCTGCTTGCTATTGCCGCTGAACTGTGTCTTCTGTTTGCAGAGCAGATTTGGAGACTATGCACCCCTGAACAGACAAGCCACTAAAAGGTGCTTTCAGAGAGTGGAGAACTGGACCATTACTACGCATCTGAAAAATTGAGTAAAAGGCAATATTTGGGCAGAGTTTTCTCTGATCACTGCAGCATGGCGATGTCTTTGATTTCTATGCAATTCTTCAAAATTACAGATATTACTTAAGAGTTTGGAGGTGGCAGCGCTAGTTCCAAATGACACCACATGCATATATTTTTTTAGTGTCTAATTCAGGGCCAGGTGACCTGAAGACCTCTGGCCTCTTGCTCTCCAGGCAACCATGTGGAGAAAACTTCCTCTTCCATATTGTGTGTGACAGAGTGAAGGAAAGAGAAGACATGGTTGCTACACGATGAAACCATTAAAAAAGGGGGGTGGCTCACCCACTTTTGGCTGCTCCTCCATCCACAGCAAGCATGCAACTGCCAACAGATTCCCTCTGAAAGAATGCAGCCCTTGATGGGGCGGGGGTAGAACGGTTCTTGATCCACATTCCTGGTCTAAAACATTCTGAATGCTGAAGATCTGAGAGCAGAAAAATCACAGGAAGTTAATTCCACGTATTACATGCACAGCGAATTGTGGGATTATTTTTTTTTGGGGGGAGGGGGTTGATTACAGTTTCAATGAGTTTTATGGGATTTGTTCCTATGCATAAGATTGGAGTGTTACTTCTGAGTGCATAGGATCAGACGGTAATTCCCATTGAGTTCAATGATGTTCATTCTCTTTATCCTGCCTTTTGACAAAGGAGCTGTGTGTTTGTGTTAAAAAACCAAGGCAGAAGGAGTGGGGATACTTTTTGAGTTCAAACAGTAAAAATCATTCAATGTATTCTTTGTAAATGTAGTGTTTTGCATCAGTACTCAGAATAAACCACTGAATCAAAGACCAAGCTAGCATGCTGTTAACTGCTGTGCTTGCCTGCATCTATTGGGGATCAAACAGTAATAGAGTATCAAGGACCACTATAATATAGTCACAGGTATTGCACACCAGTTTCGGGAGTACCAGTGCATGAGCAGTTAACACCTTAGTGACTAAAAAGGCCATTGACAGTAGATTCTACTGGGAACCTGAAATTATAGGTATAAAGCATATAACATCAAACCTCAGTTTGTTCCATTAACTGGACCTTTTATTTCAGGGTAGAGAGGTTACCTTTTTAAAAAAATATGGAAGGACTCCTCAGTAGCTATGTGATTTTAACAGCTGCATTGGTGGGAAAGCTTCCTCTATGGAACCTCTGCCTGTCACGGATGTTAAAGGCACAGGAATCTTGCTTGTAATTGGAGAGATTATTTCATTTCATTTATGAATCATTTCCCCTGAAACAATAAAAAAATAAATTAAGAAAAGCATCAACAATAAAAACAACAATATGTAACAACAATTTCAAATTGATATTAGTTTAATCATGTATAGTAGCAGTGGTTTTTTCTGGGGGTACTCAAGGGTGTGCCGTACCGGCGCCTCCCCTCCCCTGAAGAAAATCACTGTATGGTAGTATTATACTGATGTGTAGCTGAAAATGTATACATTCCTGGTTAAAGTTTTCATGTCAGCATAGGATGTTTTAGAAAGGCATGGGCAATAATTGTCTCTCCAGATGTTACTGGGCTCCAAATCCCATCAGTTCTAGCCAGCATTGCCAGTGACCAGAGATGAATAGGGATGTTGTGGGCTGCAATCCAAAATATAGGGAGGACTTCAATTTCCCCATCTAAGATGCATCTGTTACTTGCCCAGAAGCTATCCACAATTTGTAGTATTTGCATATTTGTATTGTCAGGGCTGGGTCATGGGCAACAGTGCTGCATGAGTCAATGGTCATGGGACAGGCTAGTAGTCAAGACCTAAGAGTAAAAGCAGAGGAAGGCAGGGGTCAGGGCTAAGAAATAAGCCAGGATTGATGAGCAGGTTTCCACCAAAGAACAGAGCTGAATCATACGCATAACCCCCTTGTTGCACAAGCAAGGCTCAACATGAAGCCCTCTTACAACTCTTTTCTGGTCAGGAAGATACAATGGCCACGTTGTGTGGGCAGAGTTGGTCTAGGCTAGGGTCTGAAGATCCTTTTCTGAGAAGCTGCCACCTACAGCTCCATGACTCACCACAAGGGGGAACTCAACAAATTTCAGCGGCCTCTCAAACCCCATTCTACAGCATTGTTGTGACACCGCCCTGTAGCTGAACAGGTCATGGTACCCTAAAACCATATCTGGTGTGGTCAATAGACAAGTCATCTGGAAGCACCTTTAGCCTAGGCAATAAGAAGCTGGGTAGAACAGCAACATAGAATTAACACGAATCATTTATTTATTATTATTATTATTATTATTATTATTATTATTATACCGCCCTATACCCAGGGGTCTCAGGGCAGTTCACAGAATAAAATCAAGATATAAAACCACAATCAAATGTAGTGTAAAACTCTGAAGCTCAGTGTATTATACAGTAGGCGGGTGGAAAATTGTCCATCTCATAATTGCTACACACCCAGTCTAACTTAAGAATCATCCCACCATCCCAGGGCACCATTTCTGCTTGGAGAGACTAAATGAATCCCCAGCACCTTCAACTAAGCAGTGCTTTTGCACTGAAGTTATTGCCACTGTCTGCCAACACTAAACTGCAAACCTATTGGGCAGGGCTGTCCTTGTAGGTACTGTGAACTGGGCTTAGTTTCTTAGGCACTTCGCAAATGAAATATATAGGGCGAGATTCAGTTGTGGCAGCTTGCTTGCACGATAGGAGGTTTACTTGTGGAATGGGACTTTCAGAGTCCCTTCTCTCCTCCACCTTTGCACTGCCTGAAAATCTGCCCTGCAAGGTCCCTCAACCACTGGGGCATATTGGGGGGGCTGTATGGTGGTGGTGGCAGGGCTGCTACAGGAAGAAGAAACATAAGACAGCTGCTATGCTTATAACCACAACAGAAAATTATTAGTACTTTTAAAAGACTAGAATCAGAGTGAGCCATGTGACTGGTGGGGTGTATGACAGTCAACAGATTTGGACAGCTGACTGAATGGTCATACTACATTTTTGCTCTTATTTAATAAAGCTATTGTTGTTGCTGAATTCTCACGCTACATTTTTGCTCTTATGAAGTTACTTTGTGTTATGAATGGTTTATGCTACATACCTGCATTGAAGTCACAACTACTCTGTTAAGATAACAATAAATTTCTTTTATGGATGCCAGAACAATTAGATTGGCATAAACACAAGCATAAATTTGTCGTGTAGAGATAAGCGCATAGGAAAGCACCTCCCATTCAGAACAGATCACTAACTGTGCCTTAGAATTGGGTGAGGATTCCAGAGAGTCACACACGCCCTGGATCAGAGTAGGCATTATAGCTGAAGATATATGAACTACCCCTTTTTTGTAGTGTGACTCAACATGCGGATAAACTGATTATTTCTCTGCCTCACCCCCATTATTTCAGATCTCCTTTTTAAAGCCATTTGCAGTGATGTGA